TAGACTTCAGAGCCTTTCTCTCTGTATCTCTTCAACTCGGTCTCACCTGGCTTCGTTCTTCTCTTTGTTCCTATGTAGTTCCTATGCAAATATGGAGATACTAGATACCGCCCATGTTAGAAAGAACCCCGCTACTGCCTGGGAGCCTACTGCCACCAAGAGACCGACCACCTCTCAGTTTCCCACGTCGTTTGGCTGAATTTGCAAACAGCACTGACAAAACATCAATAGGTCTCGCGAGTGGAGGCCTAAATCACATAGGTGTTTAGGTGCCTCTATTAGTCAAGCGCTGATTGTTTATTTTCTTCATCTTTGCTCAGCTTGCGTTTTGTTCCTTTTTGCTTTTTTTTAATCTTATAAAATGGTCATATGATTGTGTAAATATGGCCATAACTGTTTACTCCGAATGTACACAAATTTCTACTTTTTTTGGAGTTGGCTTCGACTCAGGTCCACTTTCTGAGGCACCACTTTCACAAGGGATAGCTTACATATCCTCTCAGTCAATACAAGCATATTGGCGAAGTGGGAAGCCCTTTATGTATTCCCGGTCGGTTACAGAATTGAGTTCTTCTCCCAGACTCTTACTGCCTCCCCAGTTTCGAATGGGTTACTATTTCGCTAGAATAAAATGAAACTTGTTGTTTTTATTCCTGAACGCTGCCAAACAAACGGACATACATCTGGGCGACTTCCTGCAATTTGTCTATTCTGTTCGTTTGCCCTTTGCCTACATACCCCTGCTTCAATCCTTGCTCAGCCCTTCGATTCCATTTCTTTGTAGTGGCTGCCCCATCAAGATCGAAAGCATCGTAATCTTTCCGACAGATCAGAATTATGAATCTTGCTATGGACATTTATTTATTCACGCACTCTTTTATTCCCAGGTTGATGGGAAAACCCTAAAAAATAGCAGGACAGAGGGTTTAGCCGTTGATCATTCCCGTTTTTGAGAAGTGCAGGGCATTCAGAGGTTATATCGCGATGTTTATGTTTACATGTTTACGTTTGTTTCCTTGTGCCTGCTTAAGTGAAGCTAATTCACATGTTTTCAACTGCAATATATCGTATGGTATACCCACTTGCATCAACTATATAAACCCTCTCTTTCGCCGGTATCCCCCAAGTGCTCCCTCCCATCTCCAACGCTCGGTTAGAGATCTACCCGAGTAATGTTTTCACTATTAGGGTATAATATCGTATCATATCATATCATATGGTAAAATCCACATTAATTACCGTATCTGGATATCCTTTCCTGGGCAATACGCTACCCGATGAGATGAGCTATGCTTCTCACCAGTCCAATAAATCAAGATCTCCAATCCTATTCTTACTGGTAGCTAATTGCGGTGGTTCTGGCAAAAGGTCCTGCCCCAGCCCCCTTTTGAACATTTTCAATAGCATTGAGCCTGTTGCGAAGTAATTGGAAAGGGAAAAAGTATGGCATTGCATGGGGCTCGAGCCGTACCTTTACATTCGGGGCATCGTATGTATCTATAGGGTAAACTGGCTGAGTCCCTGTAGATTTACTTCGAGCAGGCAATGTTCAAGAACAGATTTTGCTCGGAATTTCGCCAAAAGTATGGCCGTAATCCATTCTGGGCCAAATATTTGAGATCAGACTTATTTGGTACAACAAAAACTTATTATGCACTTACATAAGTCGGGTCAATGTCGAGTTTGGACTGCGGTATTTGCACTTATTTGGAATGTTGGAGACGCACTTAAACGTCTTCGGCATATTTCGTTAGGGAAGAAAATAAATGATGCATCCAAAAACGGTTATATTTATTTGGCTCCCTTCACAATTTTGTAAACAAAAACTATCGATCTGCTGAACCTTCAATAGCTACCATTTCGCTCCTTACCCTTGACATCTTATTATCAGCTCACCTTGCTTCTATATTTCACTGATGATGTCGTTTCTCAGCTTCGTAACCAGGTCTTTTTAGGTTTTCGATTGAAGGTCCGGGCTGGGTGATATGGTAGGCCACACTCATTGCCGTCTCACATATCAACGTGGCTACGTCCTCTAAATTGGAAATATGACTGGGGAGAAATCCCCCATCACGGAAGGGTGTTGATCAGTAGCATATCTGATTAGGGACCATTTCCAATACGGTGCTTAGGTCCTGTGTCGGTGCAGTTGTAACGATGGAGGTATCTTCAAAAGATAAAGGCGAAGTCTCTGGAGCTAATCAGCATCGTTTTGTGGATACTCCCCTTTATTGGACTTTTTATCAGTATAGTGGCGCTTGGATGCCTCCATGGCCTATACGATGCGATGAGCTGAGGCTTCCAGCCAATGTACAAGTCAGTGCTTTTTGTCGTCTCAGACAAGTCTGGTACCAATTAAGCGACCACGGAGAAGTAGAAAGCCTGATTGGCGTGGACCAGTATCGATCTGACATTCGGTCCTCAGACCGTTCTTGCGTCCATTCATCTCAATATCTTCTGATTTTAGTATTTTTGAATGCAATTTTTTGGTGCGCTACGGTTTCTTTACCACTTTACCGTAGTCGACAGTGGTTACCGTAATCGTGAATTCCATGTTCCCATAGTAAAGTGAAGGTATCAGCGGGATGATCTTCAGTTTGAATAGCTCTATATTCTGTTTAGGAATTTTTGAATTTTCAACCTAAATTTGGGATATCTATAAAATTATAAATTTTCCCCTAAAACTAATCAATTTACAAGTTCTTTCAGCGGATTTTATTTGACACCGTCGAAACCATATTTTATCGTTCGTACTTTGACGCTCCAATAAACTTTCGGGAGCGATTTTTCATTCCGAGCGGTCATACTTAATGGCTAACTGGCTGACTAATGAGCTCTCAACCAAATCCGGTTGTCTTCTAGCAAATATCATAATTTCTTCATTGGTTACGACGTTAATATTACCGAATTTGGTGGAAAAAGCAAAAATGTACGGTCTACGACACCGTGTAGGAATACGCCGCGCATTAGGCTCCTTTTCGAAATCGTTGCGTCCTTTGATACGTATCTAGCCCATTCAATGGTGTGCGTGGCCTCCTTGCACTCATTGCACAATTTGCCCCTACAAGCTTCCCGGAAGGAATAGAAGAGGGAGATATAGAGAGGAAAAGAAAAATTAGAAAGGGGAAGAGAAAGAAAGAGAGAGAGAAGGAGAAAGAGAAAAAAGAAGAGAAAGAAAGAGAATCGAGAGAGTGAGAAGGAAAAAGAATGAAGGAAAAAGTTTATCGTCAGTCCGATTAAGCAGTGTCGAACCTAATTTTTCCAACCCATCATTCATGATGTACGTAACATCACCCTTTCTTTTTGTTCAGTTTTCAGCATAAGGCCTGAATTGATGGATTAAATTGTCTATATAGTAATAAACTGTTGAGCCACTAAGACGGCCTTTCATTTTTCTCAACACATCAATTACGTTTTCGTTTTACCTGTTGNCATTACCGTTTTCTGACGAAAAAACAACTTTTAAAGTCTATCTCAACTACCGTATCTTACTTTTTCTTAGTATAGACAGCAGCCGGAGCAGTGCCTTTCCTTCAAAGTTATTTTCCTCTTTTTGAGCTTTTATCAAGATGAAATCCTTTACTTCTCCTGGGTAGCTTAGCGTAGCCACTGAAGTATATAAGCAGATATATAAATAAATAAAGTTTTTTCAATAAATATAGTGACCAGGAGGCATTGTGTCACACTTTCAGCAATAACTTCTGAATCCGTCCCTTTTTTTAGTCTTCCACTCCCACCAGTCGACAATTCATTGAAGAGGGTAATTTCGATAACAGACAACCAGGAATCTTTGAACAGACCAGGCAACCATCCAAATAACTCTGCCATTTTAGGTAGAATTGGGAAATACGGCTTGTTTCAAAGATCTCGCCAACGATATGGACTATGTTTTTCTGACCTTTGCCTCCATCTCTTATACACTCACTTCTTTGGATAGTTCTCGAACCAAACACTGAAACTATTTTTCGGAGGTTTTTGTATTGCATTTGTTTATCATAAATGTGTTCTTCTTCTTTTTTTCTGCCCCCATAGTTTCCTTGTCATCTATAGCCCTCTTTATATGCGAAGTTTTATTCGATTCAAATTGTTCTTTTCTGGGACATTGGTACCAACATGGGCCTATCTTCTTAGACTAGTTCATTCTCTCTTTCTGAAGCCCCTATAGAGCCGCAGAGTGAGTTGTCTGTTCAGGGCTTCAGAAGCCGACGGTTCCTCACTAAGTAAACCTCTGCGTACCTGAAATATAGCCTTGGTTCTGATCAAGGCATTCTATTGCCTTTCTTTATCGTACCTGTGAAACCACCGTAATTTTGAATTNATGAGCGGCTAAATCGACTGGGTTCTCTGTTGATGAATCCGTCTGTGATTATCGCTCATTTTTATTTTCTGTTTTCTTTTTTTTCTTGTTTCCGAGCTTAAGAAGGTGCAATCCATATGTNAGAGTGAGTAGCAGTTCGTCCAGAGCTTCAAAAGCTGACTTTCCTCACTGAGTGGATCTCTACGTACCTGAAATATAGCCTTGGTTCTGATCAAGGCATTCTATTGCCTTTCTTTATCGTACCTGTGAAACCACCGTAATTTTGAATTTCGCTTTTTCCGGACGAGTTGCTCTCTTTTGTGTATCGTCTCCGTTCCATTTTTAGAGCTTATTGCACCAGTTAACTGTGATGATTTCAGGGAAGTCTGACAGCAATCGCCTTCGTTCCCCATGGCTTCGGATGGCCGACAAACTTTCTTCACTTCCGGTAATCCATCAAACAAAGATGTGCTAACTAGCTGTGGGTGTTTGTTTGAACGAACTGGTTCCCACCAGACCGACTCAATAGCTGATCGTCGTCATCGTTTTCCAAGCAAATCCTGCAACCAGCATTACAACTGTTTGCGCTACGCCCAACTGCCAATGATGGACAGCTTCGAAAATCTTTTTCTGAGCTTTTTTCCTATAATTACCTTCCATTTTTTTCTGATTTCAGAAACGAAATTACCGTACTCCTTACGGCATGGGTTGCCGTTGTCTGGACTTTGAAAGTAACGTTAGCGCTGAAGGTCGATTCCGGGAGGAGCCGATCCGAAAAAAACTGAGGACATTCAATGTCGGCCGGCTGAAGGACGTCGGCAGTTTGGACTTTGTTGGGCTAAACAATGGATGTTACATTCATTGCCTTTGTATGGGTGCCCACCTGTTTGTCAAGAACATCCTGGAAGTGCTCCTCTTGATCGACAAAATGTGCCCAGCTCCTGATATATACGGTCTTTCCTGAACAAAAACAATCCGAGTCTAGAGCGCGCCACGTTCTCGGTTTACGTCAAAATTTCTGGTTTTGTTTCATCCCATTCCCCTTACAGTAACTTGATGCCCCATCTGTTGAATTAGTCAGAGTTTAAATCTTCCCAGATGGCTCTCCCACCTTTTCCGTCCTTGAGGAGCCTAAGCGGCCCAAACAGGAAAGGCTCTGATGGTTGAGCCACCGGGGTACATTGGTTGCTACTGCAGCAACGTCAACTCTCACCACCGCCACAATTTCTACCCGGATCTTCACCAAGGTATCCTCCCAGCCAGGTCATTACCGGAATCTTAATGCCTTCAGTTGAAGGGAGAGAGAGCGCTATGCTCTGAGTACGATCTGGTCCCATACGGGAGGGGGTAGGAGAAATGCGTCGTAGCTTGGCACTGCGCCAAATTTTGTTTGTTCGAAAGAATTGTCGTAGCCGCAAATCTGGATTAATAAGTACGATAACCATCCCTCGTTGTCAAGTGCCGCTCAGGAAATTCTAGCAGACAGTTTACGGGGCTATGCCCCGTAGATGGACTGGAATCCCAGGGGATTACGGTAATTCTGTTTTTTAACATTTTTTTACACTCTGTTTATGTTCCTCATTTTTCTTTCTTGCACTTTTCCAAATCCAAGATGGCAATCTATGGGCGGAACACCCATTTCCTTCCTTTTTTCCCCTCAAAGTAGTCTAGTCTTCAGTGGGTGTCCCAGGCCTATGATCAGGATCGGTGCAAAGTCTGGTTTTTTTCGACGACCATCCTCATTCACATTTAAATGAAACACCAGCCGCTCGCTTACAGTAGACGGGCACTAGCAGCAGCAGCAGCAGCATCGATAACAATCTGAGCGAGTTCGATCGTCCGACGTCGGACCATCAACGAGCGACACGCACTTGACGATGCTACACGACGATTCCCCCGAAAAACCAGCTATTTAGTGTTTTGCTAGAGACTTTGATGGGACTTCGCGCATACGCAAGACAGCCATTTCGGCTAACAACTTGGCTATCAATTCTAATTTCCTGGCTTCTCTTTCTGGGGTTGGAAAAAGAGCTGGGGTTTCTGCATTTTTCTCACATCTTGCGTCTCTTCGAAGGCAGAGTATTCTGGGTTCAGAGCTCCTGAAGGTTGATTTCTTCGGAAGAAATTCAGTCTCGTCGGAATGGCATTAAAAAGCCGAATTCACTAGCGCTTATAACAACCATCTCGCATCGTGCCACGCATTCGACTTTTCGGATTTTTTGCGAGACTGTTTATTTGTGGGAAGTACCACCCTACCCATGTACGAGCTAATATTTCCCTTGAATACCTGGGTATTAATCAAGGAACCCTAGAAGATTATAAGGTTCGTTTGGACTTCACGACCGAATCCTGGCCTCGGTACCCTGACCATGCAAAGAGCGGTAGTACGTTCTACTGAAGCCTCCTGCACAATACCACGCCTTTACGTCACCTCTGGGAGTTTTCAGTAGATCTTTCTTCCATAAAGGTCCTGTCTGTAGAGTTATCTACACCCATAACTACACAAATGGAACCAAAACTTCCTCCCAAGCGTGGGTTACCCGAATCGCTACGTCCCCCAGACGGTTGTTTCAGATTTTTGAAATTCCGTAACGGATGAAAGTGTGATTTAAATGACCTTCGGCGAATACGCCGCCGTTTGTGTCGTTTGACCCTGGCCCCTGCTGCCGATGAATTGCACAGTGGTCGATTTCGATTTGAATCACCACATGGTTGAAAACCTCCATCGATGCCTCCTGTAACGATGAGGTCGAATACGGTAATTATCCAGCCAAATCATCATTCTAATCGCCATATCCGGATTCTAAATTGGCATACAAAACTGTTCTTATGTGGTTTGAACCCAGGGATGAGCGGCTAAATCGACTGGGTGTTCTGTTGATGAATTCCTCTGTGATTATTGTTCATTTTTATTTTCTGTTTTCTTTTTTTTCTCGTTTTCGAGCTAAAGAAGGTGCAATCCATATGCCGCTCTACTATGGCTATAAACTTCGACAAACTTGTTCTTTTGAGTGTAAGCCGGCNGGCCATCGGCCAAGTGTAAGATTTCTCCTGAAGGGATAAAGAAATACGGGTCTAGGCCCTTGCAATAATCTTCGGGAAGCTCATTTTTGCTGGATTTACCTTGTAGTATTCTTCGAAGATTCTTCAAAGCCTACATGAAGATGTAGAAGATTTCTTCAGAAGATTTTTCCTCTTCAAGTTCCTGAAAAGAAGGGTGATTAGGTGCAATGTTGCTGATTTTTGCAGAACAATTGAAAATAATCTTTTAAGAAAATCATCATTGACCGCTCAAGATTTTCTTTTTACACTCATTTCTCTGATTGTCAAGGTTGCAGGGTCGGCGTTTTGCATTCCACTAGCGCTACTCTCATTGAAACGCCTTGACCAGTATTTGTTACTACCACTAAGTGGTACTCTCGAAAAAACTTATCTAATTACCTGTGTAGCTCATTACCTATCCGTACCCTTGTTTCTCTCTAGAGTATTCTGTACATATTGTACAGTCCGGAGGTTTTCTGTGAATAAAATGGACTAAAAAATTGGAAAATCTAAAAATGGACTTTCTTAATTTTCGGAAAATTGGTCGAAAATTGGAAAAGGATTTGAAGTCGTGCAGGCAAGATCATGATAGTTTTATATGAGTATTATTCAGGGAGTCAAACAAAATTTGTTGAGAATCTGAGTTTTTTCCAGTCCCTGGGGGAGGGGGGGGGGGGGNGAAGGTGGGGCTTAATTTTAATTTTTTCAGTACGTCTAATATTGCGAAAAAAATTGGGGGTGGAATCATTCGGTGTACGACTGTCCTTCAAAAATTTCGACTCGTCAGAGCAGAAAGTCTTTGTCGGATTTTCAAATTCATGCCATTTTCATAGTTTTTGAAGAAATTTTTGGGTGAATCTTCTATTTATTTATTTATCTAATTATTTACCGAATTGTTAATTTATTTACTTAACCATTTAAGTCGTTGTCGTTGGAGTAGTAGTCATTCTTCAAGTGAGAACAATGCGATAGAAATCACGAAAATTCAAGCATATTACGCAGACTAGCCTTGAATCCCGAGTTCTTGCGGAATTAGAATGCATGGCGTATCTCTGTGGTCCTATCTACCCAATGGCACTTTTCCAGTACTAACTCCTAATTCCCCTATGCAAGGAGACCCATGACAGTTGCACCGAGGAGTGACGTGGGTGTGACGAGGTCATTCCTGCAAGTTGCAGCCAGGCCGTTCAGCTCAGACGGCTTGTCGTGTTCCGAGTTCATGCCTGTATTGTTTGTGTTCGGCTCTGTACACTCACTTCACACTCTTCACACCTCCTCCAGCTCCAAGGTCTCACTACTTGGACGGATTACCCTTTGCGGCGAAGAGTAAGCAGCACGTTTGCCGTCGTCGTCGTCGACAATCGCGTCGCTTTCACAAATAGCAGCAGCAGCTGTAGCAGGTACTCTTAGTTTCGGTATTGGAACCGGTTTCAGTTTTGTGAACGGCTTACCTAGAAGAGCCTCCTAGGATTCAGCTGCACTCCTGCAGTCTTAGGAAGCAATGTTCACAATTTTTTCTTTGAAAAGGTGAGGGGATGCGCCATGCTCTTAACTCGTTCCTATTACAATTTAGCTTGGTAAGCGGGTGACTGAGCTATACTAGGACTTCTGAGCGGATTGTTCTGGAAGCCAAAATTGTATCCATTCAGATTGGAGGTCTAGCACCAAATAATTGGGCTCAGTAGAGGATGGCATGGTTCGCCTGGGAGGGATCCCATGTCGGGAACTAATCTTCAGAGATGCATGCAAGAACAACATCATTTACCACTGCCTCACCTTTCTTTCTGCTTACTTTATATCTCTACTATTCGTTGGAATCTTCTTTTCAATTCTCTGACACTTTTTTGTTCCAGGCTTATTTATGTATTCGACTTGATTCGGTAACTTAATTGGAGGTTCACAGTGACAGCTAAAGTAGTCAGAGTCTATGGGAGTCCCTGGCATCAACTATCGGCTAGATTGATCTAACTTTTCAAGAACGTCCAATCTTCCTAGTTGCTGATAGTCGGACTTTGTCTGATCAATCACAAAATCTCTGGTTCAGGCACCAAGTTATCATGCTCAAATCTGTAACTTCCTACAGAATAAATCTCTGCGAAAGACTGATACAGGGCTCACTCTGACGGAATAAAATGGCCACGCCTCCTATTTATTAGCTTGCCCTGTTATACAGCAATTGCTTATTTAAGTAGCCATTACCTTATTTATTATTTGGGTATACCGCTTAGTTACTCGTACGTTCTGACCGTCCTGATCTTCTTGGCTATGCATGGGAAGCAGTAACAAATGGGAACCATCTGTTGCTGTGGTAATCGCGTGCGCATGGGTGTGAATTCGTGAGGGTCGCTGGTCGTTTCGGTTTCATAGGCTATGATTTTCTTCATGATTACCTAAGTCGACAGGTTGTTCGGGTGTTCACTGACAGCAGCTGCCTTCTGAACCCACACCGGCGGATTCCCCCCTATATCGGTGTGGTCCTGGGTGAAGACCCAGACCGGAAAGGATAGCGATCAGGGGCAAGATTTTGTCGCATTTCTGGTATTCGCTTGCCGTTTGATGCCGTTGTGCTGACATGATTTCCAGTCCTTCCAATCTTTCAATGAAGGGCAACAGACTAATTGGTGAGGTTCCCTGTGAATCCGGTTTCTCTGTGGGCGTAATGGACGCCGGTTTACTGAATGGTACTTGATGCACATCTCGTTCGGGAGTTGGTCAGCACAGGATTTCACAGCTTTTTTCTACCCTTTAACCAACTCTTCCATAGGTTGACGACCGAAGCGATGATCTGATCTTGAGTCGTTTAGCCGCTGCACCACACTTGCCAGTGCTTTTGCACCTGGCCAGTATTTCCACCAAGGTCAATTTTTGTCCGTGTTCCAGAAGACTTCTTACCGTAGTACAATTTTTCAGCGGGAAATCAAC